GGGTAGTCTAAGAAGATCTAATATAGGCCTGATCAGAATCACAAGAGACATTAGAAAAAGTGCAGGAAAGGAAATATTGGGGGTAAAAAAAAACAAGATTTTACAGCAGAAAGTGTCACTACAAAATAAAAGGCTCGGTGTAAGGAATCCATCTGCCAATGCAGGAGACAGGGGTTTGATCCCTGGTTGGGGAAGATCCCACATGCTGTGCATGAGCCACAACTATTGAGCCTGTGCTCTAAAACCCAGAAACCGCAACTCTTGAGGCCACGGGCCACAACTACTGAAGCCCGAGCAGCCTACAGCCCAGGCGTGCTTCACAGCAAGAGAGGCCGCTGCAATAAGCAGCCCGAGAACCGCCCCTGGAGAGGAGCCCTCTCTGGCCACAACCAGAGAAAAGCCTGTGCAGCCACGAAGACCCAGCGCAGCCAAAAGCAAATAAATAAACGAAGACCTACTGTAGAGCACATGGCCCTCTGCTCAATGTTATGTGGCAGCCTGGATGGGAGGGGAGTTTGGGGAGAGTGGATACATGTATATGTACGGCCAAGTCCCTTCTCTGCTCACATGAAACTGTCACAACATTGTTAATTGTCTATACCCCCATACAAAATTAAAAGTTTAAAATTTAAGAAAATAAAAAATAAAATGTTATTTAAAATTTTTATAAATAAAAGTTTCAGTTTATTATAACAATTCTGTCTTTGTATGCATGTCATAAACTCACTCAAAATATAATAAAATAAAATACAATAACTGATAAAATTTCTTGAACCAAGATCATATCAGGGAATTTTTTTTAATTGAAGTATAGTTGATTTAGTATAGTATAGCTGGAGAAGGAAATGGCAACCCACTCCAGTATTCTGGCCTGGGAAATTCCATGGATGGGAAGCCTGGCAGGCTACAGTCCACGGGGTCACAAATAGTCAGACACAACTTAGCAACTAAACCATCACCACCATGGATAGTTTGGGAACTTCCCAGGTGGCTCTGTGGTAAAAAATCTGCCTGCCCTGCCAATGCAGGAGACACAGGAGATGTAGGTTTGATCCCTGGGTCAGGAAGATCCCTTAGAGTAGGAAATGGCAACCCACTCCAGTATTCTTGCCTGGAAAATTCCTTGGGCAAAGGATCCTGGTGGGTTACAGTCTGTGGGGTCACAAAGAATCAGTCATGACTGAGCATACACACAAATAGTTGATTAATAATATATATATTAGTTTCTGGTATACAGCAAAGTGATTAAGATATACACATTTTTCATGTTCTTTTCTATTATGACTTATTACAGGGTATTGAATATATTTCCTTGTGCTATATGATAGGACCTTGTTGTTTATCCATTCTAGTTACAAACATCCCAATTCAACCCTCCCTTGCCATTCCCGCAGACAACCACAAGCTAGAATTTTTCCATTTTATAGATGAGGAGACTCTGACTCTGAAAGTGAATAAACCAGGTAAAAGTTATAATAGTGGATAATAACCTGAATTTAAATAATATTTGATAAATATATTTTCTCCCATGTGCCAGTCCTTTATTGATTTTCACATCACCAATCTACCTCACCAAAAATGATTTGTGGAGTGAATTTAAGTTAGAGGAGATTCAGATCCTTGTTGACATTACCACTTAAGAGTCATTATTTGTTGTTGCTGTTCAGTCGCTAAGTTGTGTCTGACTCTTTGCAACCCCATGGATTGCAGCATGCCAGGCTCCTCTATCATCCACTGTCTCCCAAAGTTTGCTCAAATTCATGACAAATTGAACTTTACTCTCAACTCTTTAATAAAATTTGAAGTCCACAGCACATTACCCTAACAATTAAGAGCTTCTGCTAAGATTATTTAATTGTAGAACTTTGTATACTATATGACAGCATATAAATGCAAAGCCTTATTTACTCAAATATTACACATTTTACACTCAAAGTCAAATAATACACATTTTCTGTTAGAATCAGAACCTAAGTAAGTAGCCAGCTCTTAGACAACAGCATTTAGATTTAAAACATTTTAATATACTTGATAAATATACAGCCAGCCTGAAGGAAGTTCTAACAGAGCGTTGATATTTGTCCTCCATAATATTAACAAAGACAACATACATATGCAGTCATTTTATCTGCTGTCTCATAAACATCCTGAATTCATTTAATCAATTTCCTACTCCTTCCTTTCACTTTCTTCCTAGATATAGATTCCACAGTGATAATAAAATTCCTATATCAGTATCATCTTTTTAAGTCCTTAACTTTAAGTTCAACTTTGTTTGTTCAACATTCAGAAAACTAAGACCATGGCATCCAGTCCCATCACTTCAAGGCAAATAGATGGGGAAATAATGGAAACAGTGACAGACTTTATTTTGTCCCACTCCAAAATCACTGCAGATGGTGACTGCAGCCAGGAAATTAAAAGATGCTTGCTCCTTGGAAGAAAAGCTAGCTATGACCAACCTAGACAGCATACTAAAAAGCAGAGACATTACTTTCCTGACAAATGTTCGTTTAGTCAAAGCTATGGTTTTTCCAGTAGTCATGTACGGATGTGAGAGTTGGACTATAAAGAAAGTTGAGCACCAAAGAATTGATGTTTTTGAACTCTGGTGTTGGAGAAAACTCTCGAGAGTCCCTTGGACTGCAAGGAGATCCAACCAATCAATCCTAAAGGAGATCAATCCTGAATATTCATTGGAAGCACTGATGCTGAAGCTGAAATTTCAATACTTTGGCCACCTGATGCAGACCTGACTCCTTGGAAAAGACCCTGATGCTGGGAAAGATTGAGGGCAGGAGGAGAAGGGGACGACAGAGGATGAGATGGCTGGATGACATCACTGACTCTATGGACGTAAGTTTAAGCAAGCTCCTGGAGTTGGTGATGGACAGGGAAGCCTGGTATGCTACAGTCCATGAGGTCCCAAAGAGTCGGACATGACTGAGTGATTGAACTGAACTTTGTTTAAAATAAGATAAAGAATAGAAATTAAAGGGAATTCCCTGGATGTGCAGTAATGCCTCGGGGCTTTCACTGCCCTGACGAAGTCTGATCCCTGGTCTGGGAACTAATATCCCGAAAACCACGCCAGGCACTGTTCTAGGCTCTGGGTTGTGGGGGGGCGGGGGGAATAACAGATTAGCTTCTACTCCCATGTTGCTTATTTTCTGTGTGCTCTTGGGCATTGCAGTTAATTTTCTTTAGCCTATATTTAGATTTATAACACTACAATCTTGATGTGAAGACTAAATATGGTTACCTATGTAATGAACATAGCATGGAGCCTAAAATATGGTAAGCATAAAAATAGATTTAAAATTTTTCTTTACTGAAGTCTATAAAAATTTTTTATCTTAAATAAGAGGGCAATGTAGCAGCAGAAATAGGGAAATAAGTTTACAAACTCTCACTCTTTAAAACTAAATTTTATGGTTATGGGTCAATATTACAAGTTGTGTGAATAGAACTCTTCACTGAGTTATGTTTCCTGAAAAAAGACCTTCAGGTAATGAACAGATGGAATCGTCTTTATTCTTGTATTCATGGCAAATTAAATCTAAAATATGGCCTACATGGATTAGAGCTAGAAAAGGGAATCAAATCACAGGAAATACAAACTTGTTAGTGTTAACACAGGATCATCTATCTGGGAAAGTGTACTTGCTAGTGGGACGTACTTTATTCCAGATTTCACTACAGAATAAAAAATTTTACATTATACAAATTTTTTGCTCAAATCAACTTTCTGATTTTTACATTTCCTGAAGAATCTTGCAACCAACTAACCTGGATATGGAAGAAAACATCTTGAACAGGAAGTAGTATTTCCCCTAAGAAAAATGAATCCATTATTCTTAAGTTAGGTGATTGGGAATCACTCTGCCAGGTGTGGAGCATCTGGGTAAACTCGCAAAATTAGGTTCCTACACATACTAAACAAATATTCTAAACTGTCCCCATAGGGCAATCACCAAGGGAAAAGTGGGAGAACTTTATTTTTATACTTAACACTTGATTTAACACAAGTCAACTCTAACACCAAGGTGATGTATTAACCTTAATGGCAGAAGCAGCACTAATTTAGAAGTTTGTGTTGAGTCTTTTGCCATCAAATGCTAAATTAATATCCAGAGGCATAGATTTGTATTTACTATGCTTTAAAAACTTTTTTCCTTGTCTTTAAGGCAATGTTTTAAATTATTGGTCTTTCAATTTCCAGAAATGAAAAACAAAATTTCTGAATAACACATGTTCCAACTGCCAATATGGAAATGTAGGTTTGATCCCTGGGTCAGGAAGATCCCCTCTGGTAGGAATTGGTAACCTCCTCCAGTATTCTTCCCTGGAAAATTCCATGGACAGAGAAGCCTGGAAGTCTACAGTCCATGGGGTCCCAAAGAGTCAGAAGCAACTAAGCACATAGGCACACAAGACTGGTTAACTTATTAGAGTGTCCAGGTTAACAAGGCCAAAATCCAGGGTTTAAAGCCCAACTAGGCCAGTTGACTTTCCAAACCATTTCTGACAACACATGTAGTTAAGAAATCTCTTCACTTCTGAAGACTTAAAAAATCAAACAAAACAAACTACAAAAGTAAGGCATTAATAAGGTAAAAATGGTGTCTTGTTGGTCACTGGAAAACTACTTTTTCTATGACAAGTACATATATTTTCAGGATTATTAGAAACGTACCTTCCAAAACACAACTATTGTTAATTCTACGGCCTTAGGTAGGATACTTGCAGTGTTACCTCCTCTATCCAGAAAACCCATGGCACTACAAGGCAGTTACTTTACATACTGTAATTAAGTTACAATTACTTTATTATATATTAGGACCTAAAATAACATTCTGGACACATGAAAGTACAGGAGATGTGGTGAGAACACAGGAGTTTTAATTTTGTAAACCATACATTCGAGTAATCAATAACACAATGTTGCCCACAGAGAACTGGGGCCTGGGCTGAAAACTCGTCTCTTCCCCAGTGCGATATCATACAAGACTGTCAAGAGCTAACAATAGGTCTGTCCAGATGCTAAGACCAGGGACTTCAAAATCTCCATCTTGAGCCTTATAGGACTTCAGGGCAGTTAGAACTTCATCTTTCAGAGGCGGAGGGGCCTGACAGAGGCTTTGAAACCTGCTCAACAACTCCTCCCAGGGCACATCCTGGGGCTCAGTTCCAATCCAAAGGCCTTTCAGAAGGTCATAGTGCAGTTGGCGACCCCAGTTTGTGAGCAGACCTAGATAGACAGGGGACAGCTCTGGATGGCGCCCCGCCACGGAAGTTAAAACCTCGGCTGGGAGGTTGCGGCAAAAAGCAACCACGACATCTGATTTCCCCAGAAGCCAACGAATCAGCTCTTGACCCCCGTCTCCCGGTGTTCTGGGGCTGCCTACTCCCAATTCCTCTTCTTGAAGCCGGGGGGACGCCGGCGGCAGCAACAGCGCGGCCGCCATCACCTTCAGGAAGTTGTTCTGGGGCAGGCGCTCCCACAGGCGGCTTAGAAGCCTGCCAGGACGCTCCGCTTCGGCTTCCCCCACCTCCTGCAGACGCCTCAGCAGCAGCTCCGCCTGCGTCCTCATCAGTGAGTCCTTCTGAAGGACCGGGTTCTCTTTGTAGGCGTGGAAGCGCAGCATGTGGGCAGCGGTCCGGCAGCGGGCGAAGCGGGCCAGGCTGCCCTGGAGCTCCTCCTCCTCGGCGTCCGGAACGCCGGGGCCGGGAAAGAGCTGCTGCAGCAGGCAGTGAAAGGCGGCATCCCCGAGGGCCGGGTTCGCCAGCAGTCGCAGAGACAGCAGCTGGTCACAGTGCCCCAAGGCCTGGAAGTTCGCCAAGCCCGGGGCTAGAGCGGGCGCAGATTCACCCTCCTGCTTCCACTGGTTTTGCAGTCGCCGCTCCAGAGCTTTGCGAATATGGGTATGGCGGCCAAAGCGCCTGTGGATGTGGCGCAGGTAGCCAGCCCACTGTAAAGCCCTGCGAACGGTTGCGGGGTCCCAAGTGCGGACGTGGGTTGTGCGGGAGACAGCCAGAACCTCAGAGAAACGCTCCAGGTGCTCCAGGAGCGAGTCCATGAGGCGCCGCAAGGCCTTACTTCCGCCTTCACCCTGGCGACGGAGACTCTTTGCGTGCTGATTGGTGCGTCGGCCAAATGATACGCCTCTCTGCAATGCTATTGGGTAAAATGCCTGTCAATCTCACAGCGGCCTTAATCCGGGTACCTAGACTCCGGGAAATTTAAGTCTGACCAAAGCCCTGTATTTCATCATGGATGTTGAGGGGGTTTTTAAGCAAGGAAGATTGAATGAAGGGCTAGGACTGGAGAATTACCAGATCCACGTGGGAGATGCTGCTGCTGCTATTTACAGAGGTCTCCGTGCTTCCTTTCGCTTTAGAAAAAAATCTCTAGTAGAAATTTCCTGAGTTTTGCGTGAGTAAATCTCTGTTAAAGTTTATCATAATTGGGGAAAGCCAGAGACGTGCTGTTACATATAAGAAAATGTTATTAAATGAAAATTTTAGTTCATTTCAGTTTAGTAAAAAGATACTGACCCAAGTAATTAATGCCAGACACTACGCTAAAGCCTGGGCCTTGACCTTATCCTTTCATTATTAGAACTTGAATTCTAGGTTAAGTTAAACTTCAGGATTAACACTTTCTTAAAATGTTAAAGGAATTTAAATTTTTATTTCAAAGTTTCACTGTTGTTTTTCGTTTTTGTAATTTCCAAGGCAGAATAGCTAAATTGAGTCTTATTTCACCCAGCTAATTGAACTAAGTCGTATTGAACTGACTGACTGTGGGAGTTAAGCATTTGTAAACAAGCATCAGAAGAAGAGGCTTTCACAAAAAGCCTACCTCATATGATCCTGGTGAGGATTAAATAAAATGATAAACGTGAAATGCCATCTTTAGTATTTTGGCTGTCTTTTAGTATCCATTCTATCATTAGCCTTAGTCTCTTTACATAATAAAGATGCAGTTTTGAGGACTGATTGCAGCTCACAGTGGAGGGGTAGGCCGCTTTGAGCTACTTGTGTTAATCCAGCCCTCTCTTAATTTAGTAATTAATTTAGGAAACCCAGTCTTAAGCGGACCAATGTGTAGCGTTTCCTAAGGACAGAAATTTGTTCGGAAATGGCCAGGTGAATCAGTTCCAATCAGTGAGGCCTGTATGATTATTTTGCTTACTCTTCAGAGTTGGTGGATCTTGAACATTGACCAATATGAAGAGATAGTTGTATTGGACAATGCAGCTGTATGCCAGCTGGGTATCAAGCATGCTTAAGAAATTGTTTCTTCCTCTTGATGCTGTTGAATATTTAATGAAGCCCAAAGCTACCAGATCCATCTCTTTCCCTGAACCAATAGAATTTCAGAATCACAAGGAATACATTGGAGTAAGACAACTCTCAGATTAACCCTGTTTAAGATTATAGCACTATATATTCCCATTTCTTTATACTGAAGTAATACCAGCTCTTCAGAACACCGGTGTATGGGGCGTATAAACATTCTCTGAACAGTGCTATTATTGTTAATGTTATATAAGCCTCTGAAGTGAATATCTTCTCATGTCGTCTCCAAATTCTGTTCCTCCCTAGTATGAAAGAGCAACCACCAACACTATGGTCAAAGGTGGAGAAAATATTAGCAAAGAAACACACAGCTTGATGTTGCCATATTTACTGTTGGTCCTGAGAGATGTCTGATACATTCTTTTCCTATGGACTATTAAGACTTGAAAAATCAAGTTGTGCCATGCTCTAGGTTAGGTTTCATATTTTTGGTTATTTTAAGACATGCATTACATCAGAAATTATACGACACTATGGAACTGGGAGACCAATGAAAACAGTATTCCGATGCCCCTTTGTATTACTCTGAACAATACTATATTCACATACTGACACTTATTTCAGTCCTCTGCTTGTGGAAATAATATTTTTTTATAGGAACAGGCAGACCTGGACTCTACATCTTCAGGCAGGGCAGACTTAAGGTTTTTTTTCCTCTCATTCTAGAATCAGTTTCATGGAAGGAAAGTGCTTTGGCATTTTGCAATCACTCCGAGGGCAGATACTATGAGCAGTGGTTACACCTGATCCTAACTCAGGTACTTGATTCAAGACTGAGTTTTGAGTAGGTCTCTCTATAGCCTCTAGTAGCAACAATAAATAACAGGATGATACAACTTTTGAAGACAGATTTCTTATGGAAACTTTACAAACATACTTGCCACTTTTTGTGACAATGCAAACTCTTTCTCAGAGGTGATTATATGTCTTAGTGGGAGTTATTTATATAAAATCAAAAATTTCTTTGTTTTACTTGCTTCCCTTAAAAAGGGGGAAAGTCATCAAATGAATTTTAATGGACCGAGAACATTAGATGTATACAGGGTAATTTGGCAATGAAGTCCAGGAACCAATGGTTTTATCTTGCATCTTATGTTTCTATACCTAGTCTCTGATCAGATTGTAGAACATGTACCAAATCTCAAAAATATTACATTTATATATCTTATACAGAAAAAAAAATGTTGATCTTTTTACTCTTTGAAACTGTTTTCAGAAAGGTAACTGACTATAACTAAGCAAATGTTTTTCTGGATCTTAAACTTTTCAATCAGTGTTTGGTGGGAAAGTTTACAACTGTATGTCAGAAACATTGATCTCCTTTGGCCTGGGGGAGTCTGAGTGGAGTCTGGGAGACCAGAGTCATTGCTGAGGTCAGGAGAGATCTGATCATCCATTCTTCAGTTCTTTGGACATGGTCTGCCATTTGGGCATCTACTCAATGACGAGAGAGAGTGCACATTGCAAGAAGTTAACAGAGGAGTTCTAAATGTCCAGAGAGACAGGGCAAACACTTGTGAGTTCAGAGGAAGGTGTTGGAGGAAGGATTAGAGGGTGAGATCTGTGGGCATGGATCTAGATGGTGGCCCTAAATCTCTGTTTTCACAAATTGGAGACACTTGTAGTGGATGTGACTTTAAGTGGCCTCAAAACTAGCAGCATAAGGACTGCCCTGACAATGCATGTTTATTCCGAAATTTAGAACTTAATTAAAACTTTGGGACATCTGACTTGAAGTTTTTTTTTGGACTTGAAATTCACTTCCATCATTATAGTAATGTTTAACATTGTATTCACATTATGTTGCCTTTATAAGGAAAGGAAAAAAGATCTTTTCTTTAAATACAACCACATCCCATATAAATTTTAAAAGGCTATAAAAATGGTTTTACCTATTTTATCAACATTTCTAGTCAGGTGTCTTAAGAATAAGAAGAGAACTTTATTAAGGTCTTGCTCAGGAATTGTGACTGACCCTTTCAAGCATCAAAACCAAGACTAAAAAATATGAAAGAAAGCGTGATTAATTTTCCTATGTGAAAATTTTTGTTTTAAATATTGTTAGGAAGTTTCATATAAATTTAATATGTAGAGTCATCTCTATTTAAAATATCATATAAAGAGAATGCAACAAGAATTTTTTTCACCAAGCCTTTTGTATGTAGATCTTTCTCAACTTATGATGGGATTGTCCTATTAAACTGATCATAAGCTTAAAAATATTTTAAGGCCATCCCCAAGAAAAAGAAATGCAAAAAGGCAAAATGGTTGTTTGAAGAGGCCATACAAATAACTGAGAAAAAAGAGAAGTGAAAGGCAAAGGAGAAAAGGAAAGATATACCCATCTGAATGCAGATTTCCAAAGAATAGCAAGGAGAGATAAGAAAGGCTTCCTCAGAGACCAATGCAAAGAAATAGAGGAAAACAACAGAATGCGAAAGACTACAGATCTCTTCAAGAAAATTAGAGATATCAAGGGAACATTTCATGCAAAGATGGGCACAATAAAGGACTGAATGGTATGGACCTAACAGAAGCAGAAGATATTAAGAAGAGGTGGCAAGAATACACAGAAGAGCTATACAAAAAAGATCTTAATGACCCAGATAACCATGATGGTGTGATCACTCACCTAGAGCCAGACATCCTGGAGTGTGAAGTCAAGTGGGCCTTAGGAAGCATCACTACAAACAAAGCTAGTGGAGGTGATGGAATTCCAGCTGAGCTATTTCAAATCCTAAAAGATGATGTTGTGAAAGTGCTGCACTCAATATGGAAGCGAATTTGGAAAAATGCATTTAATACTCCTAACCTGCCAAACACTATAGCTTAGCCTCACCTACCTTAAATGTGCTCAGAACACTTATAGTAGCCTACAGTTGAACAAAATCATGTAACACAAGGCCTGTTTTATAATAAAATGTCAGGTATCTCATGACATTTATTGAGCACTGTATTAAAAAAGAAATGTTTTTTATGGGTACAGAGTGATTGTCAGAGTAGTGATGGTTGACCCTCATGATCGCATGGCTGACTGGGAGCTGTCACTACAACTGCCCAGTGTCAGGAGAAGGAATCAGACCACATAGCTGTAGCCCATAAAAAGATAAAAATTCAAAGTATGAGTCTACTGAATGCATGTCACTTTTGCACCATTGTAAAGTTGAAAACTCATAAGTGAAACCCTTGTAAACTGAGGACTGTTTGTATGCATATGAAATTCTCTTTGGTTGACTTATATGTGCCATAACACACAAAGATTGCATAGCACTGCTCCAACCGAGGCATTCTAACACAGTTAGCTAAGGAAAGGGGGCAAAGTAAAGACCACTGCAATTCAAATTAGCTGGCCTTAAATTTTCTACAGGTAGGCCAAGAAGAAAACTAGTTGATTAGATATTCTCCTTTTGCTTTTCCCATATTTCCCTAGCCATTTTCTCTTTTCTTTCCCCTGTTCTGTGCAGAGAACTGGCCTGATGCTTACTGACACTGTCAGTCTTTTCCCCCTGGCCCTCTGGCTTCCTGCTGATTTGACCAATGAGAGGCACTGGCCCTCAGAAAGAGGCGAGGGATATAGCTTTTTTTCTTTCTTTGCTCTCTGCTACAGGCTCAGGATTCTGGTTCTTTCATTTGCAAATTCCTTGAGGCCTCAGCTGAGCTTCTGATACCATCTAGGATTCCCTGCAGCCTCAGGGACTTCCTGCTGTTGCTAATC